CAAACTGGGCATGCGGACAACCCGAGCTGCAGTGTGAGGGACTCAGGAACGAGGACATTAACAGGAGCAGGCCAGGGAGGCAGAGGGACTCAGTCCCCCTAACAACCTAAGGCAGCTACTCAGTCTTCTAGGTCCTCTCCGGGAGAGAATTAAGTGGTCTACCCTTTCCCAGCCCTGCAGCCCTCACAGCCCTAGACAGTATCTCATTGTGGCTTTAATTTGTATTGCCCTAATGACGAATGATGTCAAGGTTTTTTTCTTGTGCCCATTTGTCATTCATATATCTTCTTTGGTAAAGTGTCTAAATCTTTTGCCCATTTTAAGTGGATCATGTGGTGGATTGAATTGTGTCCCCCCAAAACTCACTGAAGCTTGAATTGTGTCCCCCAAGTTTTATGTATTAGAAACTTAGCCCGCACTGTGACTGTTAAGAGGGTGGGAGATCCTATTATGGTAATTGGAAGGTGGAGCCTTGAAGAGGTGATTGGATTGTAGGACCGCGCAGTAGAGAGTGGATTAATAATGGCGATCAGGGGCGTGGTTCTGAGGGCTTTAAAAGAAGAGGACAGTCTGTCTTTCTCTCCGCTCTCTCTGCTTCCACCATCTTGCAATGTGAGACCCCTGCCTGGGTCACTGTTGCCACCACCAGATGGACTGGGGACTTCCTAGGCTCAGAAACTGTTAAGTAATAAATTTCGTTTTCTTTATAAATCACCCAGTTTCAGGCATTTTGTTATGAGCCACAGAAGCGGACTAGTACAGGCTGGGCAGTCTATTCTGTTCATTGTTCCACGTGTCTGTTCTCATCCCAGTGCTGTGCCATCTCCATTACTGTAGCTAAAAATCAGGTATGTAAGTCCTCTGATTTTATTCTTGTTCATAATTGTTTTGGCTTTTCATAAAAATTTTATAGTCAGTTTGTCAATTTCTGATAAAAAAAAATAGTCTGCTGGAAGTTTGATCATAATTGTATTGAATTTATAGATCACTTTGCGTAGAATTGACATCTTATCAATACTGAGGTTTCTGATTCATAGACACGGTCTACCTTTATTTAGGTATTCTTAAAGTCTTCTCAGCAAAGCTTTATAGATTTTGGTGTACAGGTATTTGGTGTCCTTGATGCTACTGTAAATGGGCACCGCTTTTTAAATTTGCACTCTCAAACTTGGTCAGGGCCCCGAGGGGCGCGCTCGTGGGTCTCCTGTGCTGCCCCAGATCACGTGCACCCAGTGAGGCCTGTGGAAGAGCTGGAAAGCAGGCGTAGACCCCCCTTGTGCGAGGGGCTCCCTTCGATCCTAAAGTATCACACTAACGTTTAAAGATTTATTAACATTTCAGTAGTATTTTCTTCCCCACTTTTACGGTGGCCACCCGCTCCCAGGCTTCACCAAAGGTGGCGTGTCCTGTCTCTCCTCAGGGGGGCTCACTGTCCCTTGGAATTTAATTCACTCGCCTTGCATCCTTAGCTCTGATGGACTAAAAAAGTGTGACTGTAGATTATCGGGCTTTTGCTTATTGTTAGGGTGAGAGTGATGTTCTTCTAGCGTTCTACATCTTAAGCAGGGTGTGAGTTACCAACCTGTGGTCAGGGGCATGGCTCGGGCTCCGAAGGCCCAAGCTGACAGTCCAGGCAGCCGTGAGCATACAGGGGAGGGCAGGCCATAGGGAGACTGGAGAAGGGGGAGGATCCCATGGGCTGAGGTTGGGGGCTGTGGCAGAACCCAAACCCTGATGGTGGCTCACTCCTGTGGTGTAGCCAACAGCTCGTCTGCCTCCCCCAAGCTGACTGGATCCCCCAGGCCCCATGCCAGGAACAACCCAGTGACCAATATCACCACAACTGGGAGGCACCCCATCATTGTAATACTTGCATTTTCTGGTTACACTGTTTTTAAAGTGTTTTCACAGGTAGGCAAGGCAAATAAATGCTTTCATCCCCATTTTTCAGATGAGCAGATAGACTCGGGGACCCTCAGAATCTTAGGGCCCAAAGGCTCCCTAGAGAAGTCTCACCCACACACCAGGCTCTGTGGCATGGGCCCTACAGTTCAGTGGAGCTTTCTTGGGCTGGATTCTGGGTCCCTCTTGATTGAAGCACTGTAGTCCTGCTTCTAGGTGTTGCACTTCTGCCCGAGGTGCTGATTGAGCAAAGGTTTCCAATGCTATAAAATTTAAAATTACTGATCCGACACCCCTGCTGCTTGTCCTGCTGATGGCAGTGATCAGTGGCTACCTGGAACACTATGTGAAGAGGATTCCCAGGGAATCCAGGCTCAGTGGGAAGAGTGCAGTGATGGATTGGGAATGTCTGCCGTGGGCACAAGATGGGGGCGCACCAGCATGAGCTTCCGTTACCCCTGCCCCATCCTGTTATCCCTAACCAGGACCACTGTTAGAGCCGGGGTGCTGGGGCTCTTAGAGGTTCCCACTCTGCCCATACTACCCCTATGGCAAGGACTGCACTGGGCCAATGAGAAGTGTCCATCCCAGGCCTGTGACACCCCTCTTTGCAGGCCACATTCTGTGTACCTGAGCCCACAGAATTCCCTGCCTGAACAATATTAAGCCCACTTCTGGGGCCTGCATTAGCATCTTTCTAGGTCAGTTCCCCAAACGTGTTATTGTGTCACCTTCTGTGCACTTGTAGGCCCCAGTGACAGCCGGTTGCAAAGGGGTAGTTCTTGAGGGGAGGCTATCTGCAGAGGGATGTAAATGGAGTTTGGCTGTGATGGCTAGATTGCCCACACACAGGCATGTGAAGTCCTTGGCGGGATGAAACCAGGGGTGGGAAGAGGCGTGAGCTCTGGGCTGTATCTTGCCGTGGCTCCCACAGATGTAAGGGGAGCCTGTGTTGCACACATTGAAACGATGCAGTGATGGATTGCTGATGTCTGACACAGGCAAGGGGCGAGGCGTGGGTCAGTAGCTTTATATTGTGCAGGACGTGTTTCACATCAGCCCTCCCTGTCTGGTAAGATGCATCATATTCCTTCCACATCCTATCCAGCCTCCACATTCCGCTTGGATTCTTCCAGGGAAAGAGTGCTCACCGCCTTCCAAGGAAACCATCCTTGCATGTTTGAACAGCTCTGATCATTGGAACGTTCTTCTCTCTGCGGACCCCAAAACTACATTCCAGGCACTTCTGCCCTTTGGATTAAGTTCTGGGTGGTGACTTGCCCAGGACCACACATCTCCTCGGTGGGGACTGAGTGGGACTCCCAGGCCCCCAGCCCTGTTCTTGCCCACCCCCACCCCTCACCCTGAGTTGATGCACACTGCAGCCCCAGAGCGGGTGGGGCCAAGTCAGGAAGGCTGAGGGTGGAGTCTTCCTGTGACCACACCCCCCACCCCCAGTCGTCTTGCTACAGCCCAGCCCAGCCCCTCAGAGCTTCGGTTTTATTGTCCCTTTTCCCCAAGAGAGAGAGAGAGAAAAAGGAAAACATGCAGTACAGCTTTTTGGAATCCGAAATAAAACACCAAGGGCAATGTCAATAAATACAAAAAATGTTGAAGATCTGGATATCCAAGGCACAAGGGTTTACACCGCTTAACACAGGCCAGGCTGGTTCTCACGGGAATGGTTCATTGTGTGCCCCAGTAGCCTGGGGCGGGGTGGGGCAGCGGGTGGAGGGAGCACCAAGGGAGCCCCCCAGGACCTCTATTCTCCAAGGGGGTTGTAGGTGGGGGGCCCACTGCTCTGTCCCTCCAGCCTGGCTCAGAACTGCCCCCATGCGCGGGGGAAGGAAGAACTGACGAGCACCTCTGTCACCTGGTGAGGAGTCTTGGAGACCCCCCCATGATCCTAGGAGTGAGGACCCCTGAGTGGTATCCTGGGGACCCGGGCCACTTCCTGAGAGCCAGAGGCTCTTGGGCTGTTCCCTGCCCCTTGGAGGTAACCTGGAGGGCATCTGAGACCAGCTGAGGCCCTACAGCAGCATGGTCAGAGTGTCCTCCCCACCCGAGCACTGAGGCAGAGGCTGGCATCCTGCCTTGGGGCACTCGTCCTGGGTGGCTCTTGTCATCCCCAGGGCCCAGCTATAAGTGGACTCCCTGGGGCCCACCCACCCCTCAGAGCACCACTTGCCTGGGGCCCAGCTTGAGCCAGGTGGGAGAAGATGACCCCTGACTCCAGCAGGAGTGGTCTTTGGCAAAGGACAACAATTGAGGCACAGCCTGGGAAATCACCTTCCAGGCCGGTCTCCCTTCGACCCTAAGTTGTGACTGAAGTTGCCATGCGGGTCCAGTCAGGGGTAAAGCACCAGTTTGGAAGCCCCTGGCTGATGAGGACTATGGGATCCATGGTGTCTTGAGCCCCCTTCTCTGGTGGGCTGGAGGTGGGATTAGGAGGCCAGCCTATAACCTGGAGTCACCAGGAGTAACAGAAGGTGATGTGTGCAGGGCAGAGCATGGCCATAAACACTGCCCTCCAGCCAGCAGGGGCAAGCTGGACCCTGCTCCCTGGCCTCGCTGGCGGAGCTGTGTGGAGCCCTCAGCTGTAAGGGCTGGGCCGTAGATGACCTTGCTTCCCACCTGCCCAGCCCTGCCGGAGGGAAGTCTCACAGCCACACTCGCCCCAGCCCCCTCCCTCTCGGCCCCCACCTTCCCTGGCCCTGCTTTGCCTTTCTGGGCATGGGGACCAGATAGACGGGACCTCCACCGGGGTCCCCACAAGCTCTAAAGAAGTGGCCTTGACAGCTCCCAGCATGGGCTTCAGACCTGCCCGGGACCCAGGGGCTGTGAGGAGGGGGCATCAGCTGACCCTCAGTCCTGGCAGGAGAGACCAACAGGAGCCTCTGCGAAGTTTGGTTTGGCCGCCTGGGGCTGCTTGCTGAGGTATCTCTGGCTAGAGCCTTCCCTGATCTTTGTCCTCCTCCCACCCCCTTCACAGGGTAAAGAGTGTCACAGCCCCAAATGAGAACAAGAAGGCAAATAATTTAAAGGAAGTCTGTGCCTGCCCCTGCCCCACTGCGTGTGTCCTCTGAGCTGGGGTCACTGGGGCAGCACAGAGTGTAAACATGACTGGTGGGATGGGCGGGGTGTGGCTCATGTCACTGGGGAGGTGGCAGGAAGGCTGGTGCCTGGATACTTCGGGTCTTCCCTGGGCTGCCCTTTATCCTCAGAGGCCGGCATAGGTGCCCGGGGGGTGGTAGGGTAAGTGCCAGGGCTTGGTTTCTGGGGGGCAAAGTGATGCTGGGTCACTGGGGAGCTTGTGTCCAGAGGTCCTGGGAGCTGTGTGGGTTGGCCATGCTGATGGTCATCTGATCCCGTTGGCTCCCCAGTGGGCTCCACAGCATCTGGAGTGGCCTTGGGTCCTGGTAAGGGGCTCCCAGGAGTGGAGAAGTGGAGTGGTGAGGCCAGGCCGGGGTCTGAGCTAGTGTTGGGGGCTGAGACCTTCTTGGTACAGGACTCGCAGCACAGCCGGTGGTAGCCCGGGATGGAGCAGTAGCGATTGAGCACTTCCATCTGGCAGAAAATGGACCTGTCCCCCAAGCAGGGCTCTGCTGCACACACAGCACAAGACCAATGTCGGGGGTGGGGGGACGACTGTCAGCCAGGAGGCACCGGCACACAGGCCCCACATCCCACTCGCCCCACCGACTGCTGCCCTCCATGCCCTGCCCCTCCCTGCTGGACTCACTGTAAAGCTTTACCAGAGGGGATCGAGCACAGGGCTGCCTGACAGCAGGAAGAGCCCTTACCGTATAGAGGAGGAATTAGAATCCCCTACAGCAGTGCATCTCATAGTGGGGTTGGGGTCCCCACACACATCAGCATTACTTGGAAGCTTGTTGGACATGCAAATTCTCGGGGTCCATCCAGATCTACTGCATCAGAAACTCTGGGGGTGGGATCTAGTACTATGTTTTAACAAAACCATCCAGCTGATTCCAATGCATGGGAAAATCTGAGAACCACGGCCCTACATCATTCATCCTCAGACTTGGCTGCACATGGGACTGGAATCACCCAGGGAACTTTACAAATGACCAGTGTCTACACTTTGCCCAGACAGACTGGACAGTCTGGGGTGTGGCCTGGGCACTGGGGTGATTTTAATCTGCAGCAAAGCTTGAGAACCCTGTTCTCGATTGAAGTGGGAACCCTCGGCCCCTCCTAATCAACCCAAAGGAGTCTGAACCATTCCAGCCAGGGCCAGGCTGATGGCCAGGGAGCACACACTTGTGATAAGCAGATTAAACATCCTGGCACCAGTTAGCACACATCTGCAACATTAAGCCCTCCACCACTAAATTTGAAATCAAGCAGATTTAGCCTCAAATCTAGGCTCTACCACTTAAAAGCTGTGAGCCCTTGGGCAAGTCACTTAAACCCTCCAAAACTCAGTTTTTTCACCTTTAAAATGAGGATAATGTTGACATTTACCAATGAATAATAACATTATAATTATAAATAACACTTATACAGTGTCTGGCAAAGGGGGTACTCCATATACTAGTTTGCTTTGCTTAAAATATCATCTGAAAATGCCTCTGTGAAAACCCTGGGCAGTTCTCTCCAGACAAAATGTGAAGGCAGGAGCTTTGCTTTCTACTAATTTTTTCACAGAGAGAGAGAGAGAGAGATCGAGAGAGAGGTAGGCTTAGGGGAACAGAATAAAGACCAGAGAAAATGGAAAGCCAGTAGCCTCCAGAATTCTAGGACCAGAATCAGGGCCCCAAGTACTTGCCCAGCCCAAGTCTCACTCAGTACAGGAGAAGAGAAGTTTCAAAGTTGGAGCTGGAAGGTCTTTGAGGACCTCTAGCCAGAGAACACTTTATTTATGAAGTCACTGAAGCTCAGAGAGGTTAAGGCACCTGCACAAGGTCACACAGCTAACTGGTCCTCTAACTAAGAGTTATGGTCTACGATCTTTCTGCTAGTCGTCTTGCCAGACCTTGGTCCTTGGGAGGGTGAGGAAAGGAAACAGACACAGAGCCTAGGAACGGAGGAGTGTAGAACAAGGCCTGGCACAGAGCAGGTGCTCAGCAAATAGTTGTTCATGGGTAGATGAATGGAAAGACGGAGGATGAACCGTGGGCTCCTGATCATGAGGCAGAGAGACATGACTACTCTTTAGTGTCACTGCTAGCGGACAGCTGGGCAGGAGTGCATGCATTCTCTTGTTTAATTCTCCCTCCAGCTCAGACCTACAATTGCTTATCTGAAAATATTGGAACCAGATATGATTAGGAACTTAAAACTTTTGGGATTAGAAAAGTAAGACTCTGTATATTTATATTACAGAACATGCCCAGTGGAGACTGGGACATCACCTTGTGACCAAATATGGCAATATTTATGTAGCAGAAGAATAAATGATCTCTTGTTAGTTTGGGCCAGATTTTGCCACCAGATGAGTTTGCCCCAAACTTAGGAAAAACCCTTTCAGCATTCTGGAAGTGTAGATGGGGTCATGACCTAGTACAGCATCACCCCCACTTCACAGCTGGGGCATCTGAGGCTCAAGGAGGCTGAAGTCATACAGACTACAAGATGGGTCTGCTCTGCTGCTGAGCGGCCCATGCTTGTGACCCTGGGGCCACTGAAAGGTTTGGGGATGGGGTGGGGTCCACAGACTACACTTACTTGATGAGATCTTGTTGATGGGGTATAGGGGCCCAGACTGTGGCACCCACTGCCCCTCTGGAGTCACAAGTTCCCATATGTCAGCCTTCACCGAGGAGTTCTGGAGATGTCCTGTGAGCAGGGAGGAGGAGCTCTAGTATCTGGGATTTCCATGGGGCAGCATACAAGACAGGGCAGGGTCTCAGGTCCAGGCCAGAGGAGCTAGGCCTGGCCTCCCCCTCCCACATGGCTCACCTGCACAGGCGGGCAGGCTGCAGACCTGGACGGTGTCTGGCTTGTCCCCCTCGCACTGCCCAAGACTGTTGGTGTTGGTCCGACACACCACCTGCCGCTGCTGGATTCCCTCTCCGCAAGTGGCAGAGCACTGCCAAGGGAGAGCCGGGGTCAGAGCAGGTGGAGAAACAAAAGACGGGTCAGTGAGCTCAGAGGCTAGCCAGTGCCCGAGGACAGGAAGGGTACAAAGGAAGGCACCAAGTCTTCACTGGGCCAGAGGGACAGACTCAGCACGACACACCCATTGTCAAACCCTCCTGCACTGGTGGTAAGAAGCTGCTGCCCTGAGCTTACAGCCGTGGGCCTTCCCACAATCTAGTGGTTAACCCCTGGCTGACGTGGGGACCTCCGGGGCCCCATTCCGGCTACTGCCACCTGTATCCACTGTGTCTGCTCTGTGCCTGGGTCCTTAGATATTTTTGTATCACTCAGCAAACTCCCCTGCTGCGATCCACCATGGGGTGTGACTGGGGGCAGGTTGATTTACCCAATATCTTGTTAATGGAATGTAGGGACCCAGGTTGTGGTGACTGCTGTCCCAATGGCTTAGTTTCTAACTCTGTAAACAGAGCTGGGTGACAGAGTCTCTATGGACCCTTCCAGCTCAGACATTCAACAATCTTGTCACTTGATTTACCAAACATCAGAGACATGTTCAAAAGTGTCTTCTTACCCCAGAAGGAAAGGCGTGGATACAAGGAGCAGGAGGCAGACAGGACTACCATTTGCAGGGGCTGCCACGCATCATCCCCTGGACCTGACACACTCTTACTCTGATAAATGGGTCCTGTGGGGGTCCTGGGGTGGAGCACAGGGACTCTGGGGAAAGCAACGTTGCCCAATGTGACCAGGTCACTTTTCAGGCACTGATCACAGCCTCTTGCAGCCGGATGGGGAACAGCTCGCAGCGCTCTTCTCACAGTGGGGCACGTGACCACCAGCAGACAGAGGGCCACACAGAACCACAGGCTCATCCTCCAGGACGAATAATTATAAACGGCAGCTAATAACTCTTGAGTGCTTTGTCAGTCTCACAATGGGCCAACATCTTCACCTTCTGTCATCTCTCGGATAGTTTTATCTATGGGGTCCTTTGGGGACCAGCAACCTTTCCATTTTGTATCGATACAAATGAAGCTGTATATTATGGAGAAGAACATACAATCTGCATGCGCTGTGTGGGGATTTCTCGTTCATTAAAAATACTCCTTATGATGCGATATTTCAAGCATACAAAACAGTTGGAGTTGTTCGTGAACGCCTGTCCAGATGCAGCCACTAGCTTCATTAAATCAGCATTCTAGCATATTTTCAAATATCGTGTTGTGCCTGTTTAAATGTTAAGTAAATGGTATCCCATCAGAACTGCTCACTTTTGTGTGTATTCTACCACAGTGCTTTTTCTCACCTAAATTTATTCTCCATTAGTAGACATTTATCTACATTGGTAAGTACAGTTCAAGTGCATTCATTTTTCTTGCTGATATAGTATTTTATTGTATGAACAGACGATGATTTCTTTGTCCAGTCTCCCATAAATGAATATTTAAGGCATTTCCTAATATTTTGCTATTACAATAAACTTTATGTGCTTATCTCCTTAATCAAATGAGTTTTTTAATTGGGGTCAAATTTACATAACATAAAGTTTACCATTTTAACCATTTAAGTGTATGGTCCAGTGGCATTAAGCACATTCACATTGTTGTATAGCCATTACCGCCATCTGTGTCCAGAACATTTTCTTCTTCCCAAATTGAAACTGAACCCATCAAACACTAACTGCCCACCCCCTCCTCCCCCCAGCCCCTGGCAACCACCAACCTGCTTGGTCTCTATGAATGTGACTACTCTAGGCACCTTGTGTAAGTGCAGTCGTAAAATATTTGTCCTTACGTGTCTGGCTTATTTCACTTAGCAGTAATGTCCTCAAGGTTCACATCAAATGCATGTTTAACAAACTACCCAAGACATTAAAAAATTTTCCTGTGACAACTGTCAGGGCCTAGGCCATGAGCACCTGGATTATTCAACCACCTTATCACTGTCTCCTTCTTCCTACCCTGGTCTCCAACAATTAACTTCCCACAGAGCAGCCAGAGTGATCTTTTAAACCTTAAATCAGAGCTTGTAACACCCATGTCAAAACACTTCCGGCCCGGTGGCGCACTGCGCTAGTGCGCCGCTTGGGAAGCGTGGTTGCGCTTCCACCGAGGGTTCGGATCCCACATACAGACCGGTTCCCGCTCGCTGGCTGGGCGAGGTGCGGGAGCAACACCGAGGGTTGCGATCCCGTTGCCGGTCCCGGTCCGGTATGGGGGCGACACTGAGGGTTGCGATCCGTTGCCGGACACAGAAAAAGACAAAAAAAAAAAAAAACACTTCCACTGTTTTCCATTGCTCTTAGAAGAAATTCAAATTCCTCACAAAGCCCTGCAGCATTCTGCCTGCCTCTCAAAGTCATCTGGTAGCCCCCGCCGCTTCCATAAAGCTCCAGCCCCACAGTCCTTGCAGTCTCTGGAACATTGTAAGATTGTGCCTGCCTCAGTCTCTTCCTGTGGCTCAACCTCAAGTCTCAGCTTGAATGTCACCTCCTCAGAGAGGCCCTCCCTGACCACCTTTCGCCCTTCATCACATTGCCCGTTCACTCCTGGCACAGCTCCACCTGCAAATGCTTTTGTTGTGGTTGACTTGTCTATTATATCTCATCACTGGACTGTAAGCACCACAAGGGCAAGAATCAAGTCTGTCTGGTTGATGCTGGGTTCCCAGCATTCCTAGGGCAACGCCTGGCACCTAGCTGGTGCTCAGTAAATATTTCTTGAAGGCAAGAATATGCTTTAATTTGCTCATCTGGAATATGGGGATATTAACCAGTGCCTCACAACACTGTGTGAAGCTTAAAGCACACAGTAAATAAACGCACAGGCCTGGCACCGAGCCATGGCACAGAGTACGTGGGGGCTGTTCCACTTTGTTTTGAGGAAAAACCAGACCAGATGTGGGGACAGAAATTCAGGCAGAAACTCAATGCCTGCAGGAACACCAGAAAATCCCTCAAATCCACCTCCTCCCCAAGCCCCTCCCGCCTCCTGAGAACAACTCACCTGGGACCAGGCTCCTGTCCGCCACTGGGCTGGGCAGGGCAGGCGGAGGCAGGGCCGCCGGGCCTCAGGCCGGTCCCCGGGGCAGGCCTTGGCCGGCATGGCTTTGTGGGTGCTGTTGGAGAGGGGCAACAGGCACTGCACCCCCCGCGTCTGCACTCCCAGCTTCCCGCAGCTCCGGCTGCAGGCGCCCCACTCCTCCGTCACCCACCTGGAGACAGGGCAAAAGGAAAAGGGGAGGTGGGACCAAGGGCATTTCCTCCCAAGGGCCACCTCCTACTCCAGACAGGTGCAGGCAGGAGTCAGAGAGTGGGTTGGGCTTCAGAATGCTTGGGGCCGAAGACAACGATCCACCTGGCTCTGCAGCTACCTGGCTGTGTGGCCTCAGGGAGGTCACTTTCTTTACTGCTCTGTCTCCTCATTTGAAAAATGGGTATGATGCATGTTTAAATCCTGGCACCTGAGTGTCCTTGGGAAAGCTATTAACCCCCCTAAGCCTCAGTTGCACCATCTTTACATCAGGATTCTTTCAATGCCCTGTAAATATCAAAAGTGCCTACCATGTGCAGGCATGTCCTGGGTGCTGAGATACAGCCATGCACAACGGGACAAGAGCACTATTACTGTCACCATCATCACCCACAGAGCTTCGGCACTGAGCAGCTCTGCTGGTGGTCTGCAAGAGTCCTTTAGCTACAGAGTAACACCCAACAGCATCTTAAGCAGACGCCCATTGTACGAGTTAGACAAAAGCAAAACTGCCCTGGACGGGATGAAGAGAGGGGCAGCCCCAACTCCGTTTCCTGAGGCATCTTTTAACAAACCCCCAAGCAAAACCCCAAGGGAGACCTGCCAGGATCACAGGTAGAGTTAACCCTGCACACTCTGTGATCAGATATTTGTGGGGAAAGTGGGCTGAATAATAGTATAAATTAACAAGTAAAAGAGAGGCACAGGAGGTTGTGCAGCTGTCCATGCAGAGGAGGGGCTGGGCACAGGAAGGCCACAGCAGATGCTAGTAGCACTGGCCACCTGATCCTGCCCTGGCACCTGATCACGTGTCTGGCCCTGGGACTCCCCTGCCCAAGGTAGCAGGAGCTGCTGCAGTGGGAAGCAGGAGGACAGATGAGGCCCTCTGCGTTTCCTACCAGCCAGCTACCCTGTGCTCTACCTGGGGTGACCAGGTGAGCCTGAGGTAGAGGCTGAGGATGTCCTGGGGTCAACTTTGCAACAGGCTCAGAGGGCTGACCTTAGATTCTCCACAAGTCACAGCTCTCTCCACTCCCTAAAGCCCCTCCAAATAATCCCAAGAACATGAGTCTGTGCTCAAAAAAGCCTATATACTCAGGCAGGGGGAATCCCAGTCAGGGGCCAGACCACGGCTGGGGGCTGAGGCCAGGCCAGGCCATGTCCCTGGACTCCTGATGATCAGGCAGAGACAACGGGGTGGATGGCATCCAGGCCTGGCACCAGGGGCCCAGGGGCTCTGAAATCCACTTTACCCATTTGACCACCTTGGATCACTGAGGGAAAGGTGTGTCCCCAAATTGGGTCTCAGTTTCCCCATCCATCAAAGAATGCTGGGAGAACAGAACAAAGGAAGCATCTTCCTTCTTCCAGAAGTGGAAATTAATAACCCAGAAACCCCAGGGGGGATGGACGGGCAAAGAGGGCAGGTGCTGGCCATGGGCAGAGCTTGGTGGGTGGGCTGTTCTCTGCTCTGGGAGTCCTGGATGCAAGGCTGTATCTCCACGACCTAGTGCTGGGAGAGGCAGGCTCAGCAGACCCTCCTCCTGGGGCCAGGACTGACAGAAGTATGGGACCAGGCTCCTCATCACTTCCTGGGAGCACTCACACGGGCTGGGGGCATGGGTGCTTGTTGCAGCGCCGGCGGATGGGCTTGGGCCTCTTCCTGTGGTCGCACAGGTGCCGCTGCACCATGTGGTGGTCACGTCTGCGCCGGCAGCCGTATTTGGTGAACTGGATACCTATGAGGAGGGCAGGCTGTCACGGGCCTGTGCCAGCCAGGTCCCCACTGTCCTGCTCAGGGCCTCATGGACAATGCTCTGTAGAGACCCTTGAGGGCCAACCCCATCTTCCCCTGTGCCTTTGCACCCTTCCTGCCCAAGTCACTTTCTGAAGGACGCCTTCCTGTTCAGCCCCATCTCAAATGTGCACTCGGGTGCAGTGGCTTTGGATGGTTCCTCTCCCCACAGACAGCAGTGAGGTCAATAGGGCAGAGGCTGCCCTGGATATTGCTCTAGCACCCCGTAGCCCCTTCCCAAAGGCCTGCCCAGAACAGCTTCCACATACTGGAGCGCTTCGAGGAGGGACATGTCCAATGGAGATGTTTGCCCCTGTCCCACCCTCCTGGCTCCTCTCCCTCCCAGAGGCCCTGGGCCACCCCACACAATGCTGGGTGGTCAGGGGAGCCACTACCTCCTCCGCAGGCCTTGGTGCAGGGGGCCCAGCTCTTGAGCGCCCACTCATACGTGTCCGTTTCCTCCAGGAGCACATTGTTGCTCCCGATAAGGGGCAACAGGTCCTCGTGGATGACATACTTGTAGGCCAGGCTGCTGTGGGGGCTGCCCTCAGCCGGGGGGAGCACCTGAGGACAAGGAGGAGGTGGCAGGGGACCAGAGAAAAGCAAGGCCAGCACAGGTGGGGGTGGAAGCGCCAACAAGGAAGGGGGGTCAGAGCAGAGGTGGTGAAAGCTGGGGCGAGGCGGGGCCAAGCATGGCGAGAGGAGAGGCGAGGCATGCAGACCAGCAACCACTCTACAGACTCAGGCTAAGCACCTGCTGCTGTGCACCAGGCTTGCTAGCAGCCCATGCACCTGTGAATGCTTTTCTCTTCCACAGACCTAAGTTCTACTGATGGCAGAAGCCAAGTCTGTCGTTGGTTCTGCTCACGAGAGCATCCACTGCCTGACTCCAGAACATGGTCAATAAGCACAGTCTGGATTCTAAACCCTTATCAGATATATGACTTGCAAATATTTTCTCCCATTCTGTGGGTGGTCTTTTCATTTTTTTGATAATGTCCTTTGATGCACAAAAGTTTTTGATTTTGATCAAGTCCAATTTATCTATTTTTTCTTTTGAGGCTTATGTTTTTGGTGTCATAACTAAGAATCCAAGGTCATAAGATTTGCCCCTCTGTTTTCTAAGAGGTCTATGCTTTTAGCTCTTACATTTAGGTCTTTGATCTACTTTGAGTTAATTTTTGTATGTGGTGTGAGGTAGGGATCCTACTCCATTCTTTTGCATGTGGATATCCAGTTAGCCCAGCACCATTTGTTGAAGAGACTATTCTTTCCTCATCAAATGGCCTTGGTAAACTTGTCTAAAACCAGCTGGCCATACAAGCATGGGTGGTCAATAAATATAAGGCAAATAGCAAATACGTGTTGGATTGAATTAATGTGCTGACACAAATAGGCCACAGAGCCTGACCTCCAGGACCTCCTGGGTGAGGTTGACATAAGGATCAAAGCCTGTCCAAGGTCTCCTTGCCACCAGCCAGAGCCAAGGGCACTGTGCACAGAGCTCCTTGTGGTCTGGTCTGCTGGGTTAACCATCTCTGCTCCACAAGCCCTGGCCCATATCCAGTAAGAGGGGTGTGGGCAGAGGTGGGGCCCATCTCTGCCCACACCCCTCAGGAGGCCGGCAGTGCCAGATGGCACCCCACGGTCAGCTGCCTCAGAGGTCTGAGGAAGCCACTCCTGGACTCACCAGTTGACCATGCCATGATGCATGCTGACATTGGATGACACCAGGGTGACGTGGGGAGCTAGCCCTGTGCCTGCTAGACACCTCCCTCCAAGCCCCATTTCTGACCCTGCATGAAGAGCAGACTCCCTGTGTGTAGTGTCCTGGGGTCTGACAACAAGGAGACAACAGTTTCTTTTTCCCTCCCTACTTGCCATCCTGCCAGCTTTTATGCACAATTGAGGAGCTGGCCCAGGCCCCTGATGACATTAGAAATGGGTAATTTCCACCAGGCCCTTAGCAGCAGAGACAGTGAGCCAAGGGGACAAGGGGGTGGTCAGGGGCCATCACACAGAGGGGGACTCACCATGACAGCAACAGCCTCAGGCAGGGGCCCACTGGTCTTGAGGCTTTCCTGCGCATCCTCTACCACGTACTCCCACTCCAGACCCATTGCAATGAAGGTCCGGCTCGTGGCTTTCTTGCCATTGGGGTTGAGGATGAAGCTGCCCGTGACCTGGTTCTTCACCGCTGGCCAGGGGGAGAGGGTCACACAGATTTCTATCCCTCTCCACGGGGGGCCTGTGAATATTATACTGGAGGCCTTCCTAGTGGGCCCCTCAGGGATCCCTGTCTACCTGCCCCTCCTCCCCACTTGAGCCCTTCCCACTCAGGTCTGCACTGCCCCCCACTTCACTTGTCCCTGCCTCTGGACCCTGGCATTCCTCCCACTCTCGCTGCCTTCCCTTCTTCCTACTTAACTAATCTCTACCCATTATACTAATGCTGTTAATTTGAATTTTTAAAATTTATTTTAGAGTTCTAATTTTTATCTGTCTTGGATTCATAGTTGTGTAACTGTTACAAGCATAATGGATAGATACCTCGCTCAGTGACTCTGTGTTTAAGTATCATTACAATGAGTATAATTTAAAGGCTCATGTAGTAAACTGCAAAAATGGCTATAAATTCCTATTCCTGTATGTATATCCCTTCACACTATTACTTTAGCACTTCTCCCATCAAGGAATAATCCATTTCTCTACTCCTTGAATCTGGGCTTGGCCATGTGACTTGGGCCAATGGGACATTAGAAAACATGATGCAAGCAGAGACTTGAGAAGTATTTGCACACTGGGGCTTGGCCTCTTGCTACTCCTGAGGACCATGTGACTGACACCATGGGAATACTGGATAAGGCTGTTGGGGATATGGCACTGTCAACCTCATGACCCCAGCTGACAACCATTACCAACAACGAGGTGTGTGAGCCAGGCCATCCTAGACCAACCAGCTCTCCAGAGACCTACCAGCTGATGACATTTGCATTAGTCTGCCCAGGCAGACTGGCAGAAGAACCACCCAGCTGAGCCCTGCCCAAACTGATGATGCACAGATCTGTGAGCTAATAAACAACTGTTGTTTGAAACCACTAAGTTTTAGGGTGGTATGTTATACAGCAAAAGCTGACTGATAGGCTCTGTGAAGATAGTTTCCTTCAAAAGCCATCTATGTGCACAAGTAATTATTAACAGTGGTTGCTCCAGAAAAGAAAACTGCCCCTGGGGGACAGGGGTGGGAGAAGGAGTCTTCACTAGATCCCCCTTTACACCTTCTGAAATTTGAGCCACGAAAGGGGTTGCTCATTCAACAGATTTAAAAATAAAAAGGAGTTTTCTGCCCACTATTCAAGTTTGCAAAATTCCCCCTGCACTAGAATCTTGTTCTCTGCTCTTCCACCTCCCCCAAATCTGAGGGGCAGGGCCCAGGGCACCGCTGCCCCCTTCTAGCACCCCAGCACTCACCAATGTGGTAGGGGGCCTTCTCCAGTGCCTCAATCTGGATGTGCCTGGCACCTGCCGGGACCTGCACCAGTTCAAGAGCTCCTGCCACATAGGAAGATCCAGAAAAGCAGTGAGTGGGTCAGCTTTAGCTCAAGCAGTTACTTCCTCACACCAGCCTTTCATTCCAAAAAGCAATGAGCGTTCTGAGCTGGTGGTCCCACTGCCCAGCATCCTCCACTGGGTACCCAGGAACATCTCATTTGATCATTGAACCTCTCTGAACCTCTGTTTCCTCATCTGTAAAATAGGGACAGGACCTTCTCCACCAGGTGCTGGGAAGACCAAAAGAGGTGTTATAGCTTAAACTGCCTGGTAAACTCTGAGGGCCTGTGTGTGGCAGGGCGCTGGCGGGGGTGTGTGTGCTATATTTCCCACTTTCTTGACCATCTTCTTTCTCTTCTGCTTTCCCCTCCTTTTTGCTCCTCTGACTTTTTCTCTCCCTCATTCTTCTCACACCTTAAGCTACTTGCTACTGAAGGGATTTAGATGAAACAGGCCAAAAGATCCCACATGGCTGTCTGGGGCCCCCGCAGCCTTCCTGACCCACGGCCTGGAAACAAGTCTTTCTCAGAGCCACCAAGTCCCATCCCTCCTCAACACACACACACACAATGAAGGGTGAGGTAAACCTGTAACATCCCCAAACGGGAACTAGGTCCAGTTCCTACTAAGTGCATAGGACTAATGTCTGACCCCCTTCTACAGCAAGTTTGGTCAGACTGGAGGTGGGGAGGGGAGTAGAGGAACTCAAAGGTACCAGGAGTCCAAAGCAGGAGGTGGCACAGGTTGTTTTTTGTTTGTTTATTTGTTTTTAAGGTGAGAGAGGAGAGGGAAAGAAAGTGACCCACCAGTCTTGGCCACACGTTCACACTTGACTGACCCCCCACTCCCACCAACGGCCCCAGGGCCAAAGAGATGGCCAAGACCCTATCAGCACACATCACCTCGCAGGAGATGCTTCTTAGAGCTCCTGGGCACCCAACTTGGGCAGCAGCAGGCTCAGAAGAGGAGATGGCCAACTGCAGCCTCTGGCTCACCAGCCCCGGGCAGCCTGCGGAGCTCCAGAGACAGGCTCCAGGGACCCTTCCCCCTGCCCTGAACCGTGGCACGTTCAAGGAGGCAGGGCCCAGCTGAGGGACGGCCAGAACCCCAGTCCCTCCCGTCGTCCTCCAGCCCAGGTCCGGCTCACCTGCCTGCTTGGAGGCCTTGCCCAGAGTCCCCTTCACGGTCCTGCAGTGGGAGTTGTCGCCACCACAGACCCCACACTTGTCGTCTGCCTTCATGGACCCCACCTCCTTGTCACAGCCGACGGGCTGGGGCCAGAGGTGAAGTCAACAGGAGGAGGTTCCCCTGCCCCACCCCACCCCGCAGAGCAGCAGCCCCTGGCCCCCTCCCCAGTCCCCAGGCCTGGCCAGGAGAGGAATACTGGCCCGAGGGGCATCCCTAGACAGGGCTCTGCACAGATTCACCACGTGACCTGAGTGAGGTCTTAAACCCAATGTGGTAACGATCCCCTCGGGTGGGGGTGGGTAATAAGTAACCCCTTCCAGTGCCCCAGGGCTTTGTTGAGGACCAGAGGGGTGTCATGGGCGGGGCAGGTGAGAAGATGCTGATCTTCCTAGGGAGCAGTGCAGCCCTTCAGCCTCCCTGTGCCAGCAGTGGGTGGGCTGCCTGGGAGTGGGGGACACCCACCACACACTCGCCACGGGCACAGAGGCTGTACGGGTCCCGGTAGCTGCAACGTGTCCCATCATGGACCACCTGGTTCATAAATACCACGTCCCCGGTGTCCGCTGACTGGCAGATCAGCTCACAGTTCTGGGCATCTGTGGGGAGAGGGATCACACTGAGTCCCTGGCTGGGTTTGGACAAAGCAGGCTGAACCAAGCCGACATCAGTGCACAGTCCAGCCAGCAAGTGTGGGGGGCCAGCTCTGCTTAGTGGGGGGAGTACTGGCTGTGGAGCAGGCTTATAGTCCCAGCTGTGTCACTTATAGTTTAGCCACGTGCCTGTGGGCAAGTGATTTGATCTCTCTGAGCCTCAGTTTCCTATTTTTATTGCCCCTCAGTAAAATGCCACATCAGGTTACTGAGAAAAATCAAGCGATAAAATAACAATAGTAAACCAACACTGAGTGAGTGCTTACTATGTACTAGACATCTACAAAACACATAACCTTGAAATGCAACATTAAATGCTTTTCATGAGTTAACTCACGTAACCCTCTCAGCACCCCAATGAGGTAGATGCTAGCATTACAGAGAAGAAAACCGAGGACCAGAGAGGTTAAGGAACGTGCTCAAGGCCACACAGCCATGTGGTAAGTGATTCAGCCAGGATTCTAAGTTGTGCAGTCTGGCACATGTATAATGGTGTGTACATGTGTGTAACATTAGAAGGCTGCATGAAAGTAAGGCAGAACCGTGCTCTGTATTTGGGTTTGTAAAATGGAGCAGCAGTAAAAGAGGAATAGGGTTCTAATAAGTGTTTTCATCTATCTGGGCGATTGACGTCCTAAAAAGGAGGTTCCAATGAACATATAAACACTTGCTGCACTCTTTAGAAAAGGGGTGGTTGGGGGTTTAGCTAACTTCCTGGAATTCATCTAAAAGTCCTGGGAAAAGTCCCAAGTCTATGTTGCCCCATGCTGCGGTCGCTTGTTTGGTCTCTGAAGGGATCTGGAAGGCTTTCAAAGCAAGCCCCTCTCTCAGCCAATTTCTAAGAAGCCTGTCTGGCTCCCTGCTCCCGGTCTCTGGGCTCCCAAGACATCTGTGACTTCTTGCCTCCAGCACTCAGGACTCAAGTCTGCAGCCACAACATCCAAAACCACCTTGATTTCACACACGGGTGCCAGATTCCTGGTGAGACCTGAGCGTGGAGGGGCTCCAGCCCTCCAGGAGACAGAGAGGCTCCTGACCGTGCAGCAGGCAGGCAGGTCTGGGCAGCAGTAGAAGTCAGCCCATGGTGGCCAGGGAGTGGGGATCTCCCCAGAGTGGGCAGACACCCCCTGCAAGGGTGCTCTGGAGGAGTCTGGCAATGACAGGCCTCTGAGGTCCCTTCCAACTTGAAGGTTCTGTCATTCTGAATATAAGCAGAAGAGCTGAATGTCCTGGGGTTGACCCCAGGTGCAGGGAAGGAAAGGCCCTTCTAATGGGAGCTATCTGGGGCTGAGGGCTGCGTGGCCGGGAGTGAGCATCTGTCCACTGAGGGACCACAGAGAGCTGGCAGCAGAGAAGCAGGATTAGAGGCCAGTTAAGGGCTCTCCCAGACTGAAGGCGCTAACGTGCCATGAATTGCAGCCCTTCGCTGGATTCTCTGCCACTACAGGAACCATTACTGGAAGTGCTCAAAAACAGATGGGAACCGGCACCAGCATGGTTCGGAGGCCTGCATCTGCCCCAGGGCAGCCTGGAGGGGTCATTATGAGGATGCCACAGGATTCCATCTACCGGCCTTTCAAATCGCCATCAATGACTCCACTGAAATGGTAACACAGTCAGTAAAACCTAAAAACCTGGCATGTAATAGGACTGAGCAGCTCAGGTTATGTGAAGTGAGGGGTGCCCATACCCCTCAGGAGGGGCAGGGAGGCTCAAGGGGCAGCTGGACTTTGGGCTTTTACCAGGACTTTTAGACAAATTCCAGGAAGTTAGCTAAGCCCTCAATCTCCCTTTTTCTAAGAAGCACAGCAAGTGTTTATATGTTTTCTGGGATCGCCTTTTTAGGACATCAATGCCTTCCTGTGCAGATAAAGACAGGCACCCAACCCCAACAGCCAACACTGGGGCCAGCCTCTACAGCGACTCTGGGTACCCACTCCTCAACATACTTGCCTTGCATCTGCCAGAAAACTGTCATTGTAAGTATGCAAATCAGGAATGGCCTTAACGGGTACAGTGAACCCAGAGGTACACAGAGCACAGGCTACACAAAGGTACGAGGCAAGCCTGCAACTGTGATGTCCTTTTTGGCACCCTCACTGTCCCTCCACCTTCCCTGGTGGGTGCAGGGTGGGAGGTCCTGTTTGGAAACACATGACCCCAGCAGATGCCTAAGGACGTGGGGGGAGGGGGAGCAGGGCTGCTCACCTTCGTCAGGCTCATAAGGGACCCAGCTGTGCTTGGCGTTCTGGTGAGTGTAGTAGGAGTTGCGCTTGGCACACTGCTGGGCCCGGAAGTCCTCGTAGGGCCCGGGGCATTCCTCGCTGTTGCAGACCTGGTACTCGAACATGGGCCCTGAGCATGGACGACCTCCGTAGGCTGGGCTGGGGCAGGCACAGAGAGATGGCGTGACCTTGCTGGCTGGGAAGGCTGGGGAGGGCTGGGATTCCCACGTGGCCACCCCACTGCGGGCAGCTCAGCCTTTTACAGTAGCATTACAAGGGGCCCCACTAACTTTCATAACTAAAGAATGACCTGCAGCATGGAGGCTGCTGAGCTCAGAGCTTTCTGGGTCCCTCTTCCTCACTGACTGCTCTACCCTTCAGGCATACACCACCTATTCCACTATGTGGATGTTTCAGAGACAGATGGACAGATAGACATTGGGACTAACTCCCTCCCTCCAACTAGGCTGGAAGAGAAATCAGTCTGACTCACTTTTGTATATTCCTTCAACTGTTACACAAGCCCAAGCACTCAATAAATGATTCCACTCCTATTTGCATCCACTTCCATTTAATGTCATAAAAAACTAATGCGTGCTAAAAGAAACCTGGACTTGGAATCAGAAGAGCTGGCTTCCAAGTCCTGACCTTGGCCAAGTCACTTAGCCTTGAGTGCCTTAATTTCCCCTTGAGAAGAGGAAATAATACCTCTTCTTTTACCTACCTCCTGGTGTGTCTGTGAGGAATACATAAGAAAAGGTATTTAAAAGCAATCTATGCTTTCTTCTCCATTAAATCAAGAGGATCAGGGAAGACTTAATACCATGTGTCCAAGTGCATGAGATTAATAGTAGCCTGCTCTCAGAGATGCTGGGAGAATTACATGGATTTATGCCCCTAGGTGCTTAGCATCCCACCCAGCACAGAGAAAGCACTCCATGCATCGTCAGAGGAATAATTACAATAGCAGGTGTCATCTGTTAAGTGCATAATCTGTGCTGGGCATGGTGCTGAGGGCACACATCTCATTCATTTAAGCCTCATCAAATAATAATAGTTATTATACAGAGGAGCTCAGTAAATGGTAGTTTTGATCATGGGGATAACTGTTGGTCATGACTGCAAGGTGGTTTACGCAGAGCAGGTACCCTGGGCCTATGTATAACCCCAGCTTTCGTATCCCCAACAGACGGAAGTTACAAGTCCATTCTGGCTCGCATTTGTAAAAGGTCAGTACAGCCACCTGACAAAGAACAGGCTGCTTTATAGGTAGTGAGCTTCCCATCCCTGGAGGCAAACAGCAAGAGTGTGAATGACCCCTTCTGAGGACACAAGAGCCACTGCCATCCTGTCATCCTGCAGTGTTCACTACACGGCTCGGGGCTGTGTGGGGTCGGCCCGCCCTGTCCAAGTGGAGATTCCTGTGCTGTCTGCGTTCCTGCAGCCCCTGACCCATGCGGCCAGCCCTAGCCAGTCCCGCTGTCTCATGAGGCTTGTTCTAAGCAGGCTGCTTCAGCCTGGGAGATGGAGCTGTGTGGAGCTGGGACTCAGAAGTTCCACAGCCATAAGAGAGTGGAGGGGATCCCCACAGAGGGGATGAGAAGGGAGAATCTCTCCTAGCATGCTGAAATTTATGTGTGGGGTAAGGAGGGGAGTAAGAGGTAAGTAAGGAAAAATTAAAGGAAGATTTAGAAAACAAACTTGGGGGATTTATGTGTATATCATGTTTAGATCAGTGTTTTCAGAAAGTATAGCTGAAGATCAGAGTCATGGAAGGGCTTGTAAAACTAACAGAACCTTGGGCCCACCCAGATTCTCAGGGGAATCTTCTGCACACGAGACTTTGAGGACCACTGGTTCAGACACACTCACAGGAGTCAGACCCGAGGAGTCATTAGCAAATACAGGTGGACCTGCTCCCCGCAACAATTTTGGGTCCTCATCCCTTCGAATATACAACCACCTGCAGGGGCTCTTCTCTCCTGCACCTGGTCTCCCTCATACTTTCTCCTCCAAGCCCCTCAGCCCTGGAGAGGAGGGCCCCCTGCCCTGTCCACCCCAACCAAGCGCACTCACGGGGGGTTGTCACAGCTCCGGCTGCGGGATCGCACCCCACCTCCACATGACCGCGAACATGACCCAAACTTGGTCCAGGAGCTCCAGCCTCCATCCTGGCCGTAAGTCTGCTCTGGCAACTTCCAGATGCAATGACCTTTGAAGCACCACTGGGGTGGAACAGAGGGCATGAGGTCACCCTTGGCCACTGCTGCCAAGCCTGCCTGCCATGGAGGGTGCTCAAACGGGCGCATGCCTGGCTGGTGGGCCCCACGGGGGAGCCCAGAGAGAGTGATGTTAAGAGCACGAGCCTGGGGCGAGACAGAGTCCCACCCCTCCCATGAGCTGAGCAACCTTAGACGAAGGGTTCACCTTTCTGAGCCCATTCTTTGACTGCACAATGCGGATCATTACACCTGCTCAGAGCATTCAGTGACACAACACCCAGCACACCCAGCCCTCCAGAAATGGCAGACATTATTAATGCTGAAAACAAATGTGCAATTATTTAGTTCATCACCCCAGGAGAAATAAAGGGTGGATAAGAGAGAGAAGACACAATCTTCCCATGCCCTCCAGAGTTGATTTTGGCTCTGTACCTTGAAACGACTTTCCAGGGGCCACGAGCAGATGTGGCCCTGGGAAGCAAGTCAGCCCCATGGGAGGTCTGTCCACACAATGCAGGGAGTGTGTGCATTGAGTCAGAGGGCCTGGGTTTGAATCCCAGCTCGGCCATTACTGGCTGTGTGTGGCTACTTCACCTTGCTGAGCCTCAGCTAACTCACCTGGTAAATGGGACTGTTCTAAGAGCTGAGGGTAATAACACCTACAGAGGCCTTAGCACAGGACCAGGCCCAAGGGGCTCAACTAAAGGCATCGCCCTTCCCTTTTCGTGTAGGGTGACTTGAAAGGAATACAAAGCTCTCTGGATCTTTCTCAGGAGATGAACTAAGTGGTTCTCAATCTTGAAATCACCTGGGGGAGATTTTATAATTCCAGACGCCTGAGCATCACCCCAGACCATTTTAGGGTTAGGGATTTTTTGAAGAAGCCATAATGAGGTATAATTTACATACCATACAAGTCACCCATTTCAAGTGTACGATTCAATGGTTTTTCATAAGTTCACAGAGTTGTGCAACTATCACTACAACCCAATTTCAGAACATTCCCATCGCCCCAAAAAGATCCTCTGTGCCCATTTGCAGAAAGTCCCTGTTCTAGGGGTTGAACTTTTAAAGCTCCCCAGATAATTCCAATAGGCAGCCAAAATTGAGAACCACTGATTAACTGTTATGGGAAATTGTGCCTGGAGAGGGCCTGGAACTTTAAAAATACCTGGGAAGTGGAAACACCTAGAACAGGTATAACAGCCTCTCAGATAAGAGCCTGCCAGGTTTGGAGCTCACTGGGCCTGTACAGGCCATGAGAAGCCCCATCCATCCATGAAGTGACAAACCAGGGAGATGCTCAGCAGGACAGGTGTGAGTGGGACGAGCCTGGTGAGGGCAGAGGGCAGGCTGGTGGGGCAGGTGCCCCATGGCTGGGCTCACTAACCCTAATCTCCCAACCAAGCTTCTTCCCAGCTCTCTCCCTTGCTCTGATGTGTTTGGTAACTTTAAAACAACCCTGAGGGGTGGGGAGGATACTGGGTCAGGGGTTAGTGGGTCCAGAGAAGTTCAATGAACAGCCACACAGTGATCAAGGGCAGGGCCAGCAATAGCACAGAGGTGGGTTTCAGACCCCAGCTCAGGGCCCTCAGACCCAGCCACGAGATCCCCCTGACAAATGAAGCCTGGCATCCACACACGCGTGAAGGAGCAAACATACCAGGGCACACATGAAGGGCAGGTGGGGGTGAGGGGGGCAACACGTGTGGGAGAAACAGAGATAGCATGGGGAACGGAGGTGGGAGAATAGGCAGGACACTGGGAGCCTTCCTTCCTTCTCTGCTAATAGCTCCTTGTGTGACCCTGACAAGTCCCCTAACCTGTCTGGGCCCCATTCTTCTCATGTGTAAAATGGTCCAAAGCATTCCTGCTGGATGGACTAAGATATCACGCTAAACTCAGCCAACTATAGAGGCCAAGGGCTGCAGTGTGGGGTAGAAGGAAGGGTGCGAGTGCACGGGGAGACTCTGTGCACATCTACCTGCACCTGGGCTCCCACCTGTCCTTTAGCACTACCACCCATCTACATCTGTACACACATTTGGGGGGAGACTAGGGGCCCCGTGGGACCTGCACCCATGCTGGTGATGGCCATCCTCCATGCCGGGAAGGCCACTCTTGCTGCAGACCCCACAGGTACCTTGCCTGGTGCACAGTCGGTCCCATCCAGGGGGGGCCCCTTCTTGGTCTTGCAGAAGTACGGGTTGTCAGGGTGGCTGCACCACAGTTGCTTGCAGGGCTCAAAAGTCCTGAACTGCATGGCAAGGGGCAGGGGTCACTGGGCTGGACTGGCTCTCCAGCTCTGACAAGTTGTCCAAGGACAAAGGGTAGTGACGGGGCCCGGGAGGGGGGGTGTGGTAGACGCCAGGGCCCAGACACCACGAGGAAGGCAGTCAGAGCCCCACACACCCTCAAGCTCGACACCACCCCAAGTGCCAATGGCTTCCAGGGACGCTCCTCTCCTCAACAGAGCACTGAGAAGGACCCGGCAGAGCCACACTCACTGTGTCCTCTCTCCCAGGCCTCCCTCCCTGCCTTTTCAGAAGTCACTTTGTCACTCAGCTGGGACTAGGGTTTGAGGCTCTGGGGAGGTCTAGGCCCATGATGCCCCCTGACCCTGTGCACACGGGGGCTGTGGGGGGACCAGACCAAGTTGAGACTCATCTCCCTCTAACTTGGACAGTCAGGACAGAGGTTGGTAACCTTATGTTTCGGATTATTCAGGAAAGCCCCAATGCACTTAACATTCTGTCTTCTTATCCCCTGCTAGCCAGAAAAGAGTCCTACAAATACAGCATTTGGGCACTGAAATCCCATGTCCAGTTCCTCCACCCCCAAAGCAAGTGCTTGTCAGATCTCATGTCCCAGTGGTGCCTGGACAGTGGGGGAGGTGACCACATACAGGGGCTCCTTGGTACCAAACAGGGTCTCATGGTTCTGTGAAGTGGGGAGAGGGCTGCATTCCCGGATGGGGGGGTCTGAAGCACTCAGGTCACCAAGGCCTGCCCCCCTACCCCGAGATGTCCCCTTCTCTGAGCCTCAGCCTGGGTGCCTGCTTAGCAGCTATTCGCTTCTCTCCTGGTGGCTCTAGCTGATCTCTAGGCTCAAGGGTCTCCCCCTGCCCTGTCCTGCAAGAGAGGGACAGGATTATGCTCCTATGCTCCCTTGTGTCTATGTCCTCAGGCATGGTGGGCAGGGGGCATGGAATTGACCCCCTGGAGAGAGGTAATATGTAGGTACAGCAGAATTTCACTGGGGTGGGGAGTTAGACCAAAACATCCTGCCAAACCCATGAGGGTGTGGGAACTAGTCCTCCAGGCCAGAGCCCAACACCCGCTCTGACACCTGTACTGTCTGGAAGATAAGCTCCCCAGCTGACCAGCCCAGACAGGATCCCATCAGCACCTGCTCTCTCTGTTCCACTGTGTTCCCATCTTTCCCGGGGCTAAAGCATTCTCAAGCCACTGTACACACCTGACACCACAGGTGGCCCTGGTCGGGGCCTGGGTCCTGTTCACCCTGTACTCCTCATGGTGGCTGGCACCAAGGCTGCAGGAACATCACCAGGCCCACTGGCCAGCAGTGTGGAAGGTGCCCCATGAATGACCAGACTACGACATTGCCCTGGCGCCCCTGGCCTGGCAAAGGCCGGGTGGGTACTCACCGCCAAGCAGGTCTGGTATCCGGTGCCAAAATCAAAGCGGCACTGCTCATCCATTGAGTAGTCAATCCCAGGCAGCTCTGGGGGCTGGGGCCAGGTGGGCTCAAAGGGGTCGTCGAGGAGGCAGTTGTAGGAGCTGCCAGTGGGGACAAGGGAGATGAGCCAGGCTGAGGGCAGGCAGTCCCAAAATTTCCCTTCCCAGGAGGTGGGGGTTTAATGAGCAAAGAAAGCCTGCAGAAACCTGCACCCACTGCCCTGTGCCCAGCTGCCCTGAGCCTCTCCCTCATGCAGGACCTCACTTCTGCCAGTGGCAGTGTCTGGAAGGGCTGCATCTGCAATAGAGGCAAGGGCACTGGGACTAGAGTCAGTAACTCAGCTTGTAGATGGCTTAGGGCATCAGTTTTGCTACCTAAGAGGGACATGCTATGGCCAAGATTAAGGGTTGATTCATGGATAATTCGAGGGCTCTCTGTGCACTGAAAGAAGAAAAGTCCCTAACTGTATGCAGGACATACACTGGGCAGGCTGCCCCAGCCAGCTGCTGTGTGAGATTATGACTACACTGCTGCCACCTGCCCCCACCCAAATCCACTCTGGCCCCGTTCTCATGCCTTGAGCTCCTGAGACTAACATTTGTCCTATACCTCAACATCCAGGAAGACCCCAGGAGCTGAACAGCCATACCAGGAAGGCATGTGTATTGCTGGGGCCACGGGTGGGGTGGGGAGGAGGGGAGGAAAGAGCACCCCCCAGGCATGCCTATTTTTCTGGGGCCTTGGGGAGACAGTGGTACCCCAGCCCCAGCCCAGTGGCTCCTAATCTTTAGCATGCATATCACCTACAGTGCTTGATAAATTCAGATTCCAGGTCCAATCCCAGCAGAATCTAACTTACTGTCTTGGGTGGGGCCAGGGGATCTGAATTTTTTACAAGAATTTTATGCAAGTGGTCACACTTTGAAATGCTAGGCTAACCCACATGTGATGCTAATGGGGGTGCTTCAGGCCAGGTAGGGGGAGAATGGGGGCTAGAAGAGTCACAGAAGGATCAAGCCAGGCAGGGGTGGGGTTGATGATCCAGGGAGACAGCCAGTGGTGTGGCCTCTGCTCAAGTGGCATGCCACATGCTTCCCACATCCCTGGCCTCCAGGGCAGATGTGACCTACGGGAGGTAGCGGCTGAGCTCCAGCTTGCTGCAGCGTGACCAGTGGAAGCGGTGGAAGGCAGCCTGCACCAGGGGCGCCATGACACTGCCCAGGCTGGTCTCGTCTGCACAGCCATTCCCCTGACCATCGTGCTCCATGCCGAGCCTGAAAGATGAGGGGAGAATTGAAGGGAGCCCTACGACACGCCTGGGGAGCCCACCCCTGGGAAGATGGACAGACGGGCCAGCAGCTGGAAACCTTGCCCTGACCAGGAATACAGATTGCACCTCCTGGCCTCAGTTTCCCAACTATGCAATGGGGAGTACCACCCCTCTCTCCAAGGCTGCTGGATAGAAGCTGCCTCCCAAGCCTTTGCTCCTGCTGTTCTCTCCTCCCAGACACCCAACCCCCCTTCAGGCCCCACGCACATATGTTCTCACAGCTTCCAAGGCCAGCCCAAGTGCCAATCCTGCTCCAGGACACGGCCCAATTGCCCAGCCCAAGGGCTGACCTCCACATGGGGGGCCACCTGCACCACCATTATCAACTCACACACCATGCACTCTCTCCCCACCAGACCGAAGGCCTTTGAGTGCAAGGACCAGGTTGCATTCAACACGATTCAGTCTCATTTAATGAGCCACTCTGTGCTGGCCTCAAGCTTCTCCAAGACCCCACAGGACTTAGCACAGAGCTTTGCACGTGGTAGGCATCTCCCATGATAATACTTTACATTTAAAAATTTTCTCTTTTGGGCCGGGCCGTGGCTCACTCGGGAGAGTGCGGTGCTGATAACACCAAGGCCCCGGGTTCGGATCCCACATAGAAAAAAAAAGTTCGCTCACTGGCTGAGCGTGGTGCTGACAACACCAAGTCAAGGGTTAAGATCCCCTTACCGGTGATCTTTTAAAAAAATAAATAAATAAAAAATAAAAATAAATAAATAAATAAAAATTTTCTCTTTACAGTTGGTATTTAATGCCAAAGCCCATCGATCCTAATTTCCTAAACACTCCCAGGTGGCTGCATCTGGCCTTGACCACGAGGCAGACTCATGGGCCTCTAAGCTTGACCTTGTCTCTCCATGGGGAGGGGCCTCAGAGGTTTCCCTGGTGTCAGCCTCTATGTCGCAGGTGAGGAAACTGAGGCCCCAGAGAGGAGGCACCGCCTGGTGAGTGAGGGGCAGAGCTGGGATGAAATGCAACAGGATTGATTAGTTCTGCCCCTGTGGACAGACAAGGTCAGGAGGCATGACCGTGGAATATGTGCATCACCAGTCACACTGAACAATGGCTCATTTGTTTCTGCTCAGCACAGAGCTCTAGAGGCTTTTCTGTCCTGTTCTCCACTGCAGCCCCATTCCTAGAACAGGTCCTGGTGTGCAGCAGGTGCTTAATAAATATCGCTTGAATGAATGAATGAATGAATATGCTCTCTACAAAATCCAAGCCTGGGGATCAGGCAAGCCAGCCATCTGCCTGTCCCGCTGTCAGAGCTCTAAGTGTGTCTGTTTACAATGGGCTCAGGCCAGCTCTCCAGTGAGTACTGACCGCCAGCGTCAGCTGGAACAGGTCTCAGAAGGGCCTCAAAATGTGGATGGGATGGAGGAAAGCCAGGGATAGAGATCACTCAGCAGCCCCTGCTCATGATGAGAACACTGCCACTGACCTGGCCAAAGGCAGGGCCACATCTGTCCCCTGTGGCCCTGGGATTTGGATGCTGGGTCCAAGGCAGGATAGAATTGCTGTGGGCCCCTTGGCTCCCTCCCCCTCAGGGCAGGGACTTCCTCCACAGGCAGCTCTGGGATGCTGCGCCTCAGGGGCAGACCAGCTCCTCTGGCATCTCCCAGGACACTGGGACTTGAGCCTAAGCCTGCCACACCCATAGAACTCCTCAGAGCTCACAGTGTGGCCCACAGCCACAGAGCAGCCAGCCCCACCAACCTTCCTGGTGCCACTTACACATGGCCAGTCTCATGGGCCACCACGAAGGCTGAGGAGAAGCCATCCTCGTGGTTGAGGGCACAGCTTCTCAGGGGGTGGCACATTCCAGTGACAGGCGCATACCCTGCTGGGGAGAGGGAGAGAGGGCAGAGAGAGGTCATGGGCAGGCAAAGGAGGACATGCTGAGGTCTGTGCTCAGGGTGGCCACCACAGGGACATCCTGACCTGGTCAGTGCTGGACAGTCTCTGGAGGAAGAAGGATGCTCACAAAGTCCCGCCTGCAGCAGAGCAAACCTGGGCCTAGCTGCCCCCAAGTCCTAAGGCTTGATGGTTTTCCTCATGGCCTACTGTCTCCCAGGGTATGCTGGCTCCCCACCTCTAAACAAGGGGTTTCCAGGCAGGACCCAAGCCTGTGCACACTCTACTTCTGTGCTGCCTCCCTCCAGTCCCACAGTCAGCCAGTCAACAAAGAGCTCTGAACACTTTCTATGCAGGGGTGGGACTACAGGGAAAATTGAGAGTGGGCCTAAAGGGCTAGAATTCAAGGAGCAAAGTGAGGGTGAAGGTCTGATCTGGAAGAAGGGAAGGGGAATAGTTTCAACCAAGTGGGTTGAACCAAGTGGGGGGACCAGGGAATGACTTATGGGAGACACAGGACTGGGCCTGGAGGACAGTTGAGATGACTTGCCAGAGGTGGGGAAAGACACAGGCAAAGATCCAGAAAGGCCACCCAGGTACCATGGCAATGCAGCAGAGCTGACAGTGAGCAGCAAAAGCTGCAACCTACATTTACTAAGCACTGCTGTGTGGGGGACTTGTGTTCTAAGGGACCTGCTTGCAAGACTGACCCAGGGGTCCAGTGATGGCTAGAAGAGCACACTGGTCTGGGGAAGCAGGGTAACAATAGAGAGGATTCCTTGCCTGGGCCTGCAATTGACCAGACAGAGCTATCTTCCTATCTTAGAGTTGCTGAAATGTTCTTTTATTTGACATGATTTTGGGGGGTGTATAATGAGAGGCTGCAGTGGGAAGGTAGTGTCTGGGAAGGAGTGGAGGTCTAGGAATTGCTCTATGTCTGATGTATGTACATGCATGTGTGTGTGTGTGTGCATGTCTCTGTGTGTCTATGCATCTGTGCATGTGTCTGCACATGTGTGTATATGTACTGGTGTCTGTGTACCCGTGTGTGTCTCTGTATGTGTGTATACAATGTCTCTGTGTTTGCACATGTGTCTGTGTGTGTCTGTACATGTGTGTACTGTGTCTTGTGTCTATATGTGGGAATGCTTCTGTGTATGTGTGCCTGTCTGTGTGTGCATTTGTCTGTATGTGCATGTATGTGTGTGTCTCTGTGTGTTTATGTGTATGTAAACCACATTTGGGGCTTCAGTGATTCACACAAGAAGCCTTATGGTTAGGCAAGGCTGGCTGACTCATTTCCAGTACCAGTATTAAATCAGAAAAAAACAGAAAGCCCTCAAGTTGGGGGCTGGAGATCCAGTTTGAGTCTAAGATCTGTCTCCTCCGTGCTATCGGACATGGGCAAGCCTTTTCACCAATCTGTGCCTCAGTTTCTCCATATAGGAACCTGGGTGATCAAAGCTGCATATGTTTGCAGAGAACTTATAGTTGTCAATTCTCTGTCACAGACATTTCATGTACCCCTTGGCCTTCTGAGCAGCCCTGGAATGAAGGAAAACCAATATTATTATTTTCCCCATTCGACAGCTGGGAGAATCCAGAGAGATGAAGTGATCTTGGGTCACTGGGCTAGTGAGGCATGGAGCTGGAAGTAAAGCACAGACTTCCTTTCACATACCCCATGCAATCCCTACCCTAGATGCCCTACAGACTGCCATGAGGACAGATGGTTACTGTGTGGGTAAAAGCATCTTGAACATCATAGCAGGAGAGGTGTTGGAGATATGTGATTTACCCAACAGGGAATCCAAAATAATGGTCATAAAGATGCTCACCAGGGTTAGGAGAGCCATGAAAGAACATACAGAACTTCAACGGAGATAGAAAGTATAAAGAAGTAGCAGGCAGAAATCACAGACTGAAAAATACTATAACTGAACTGAAAAATTCAAGACAGGGGTTCAACAGAAGACTAGATCAAGCAGAAGAAGGGATCAGTGAAATCAAAGACAGATCACTGGAAATCATACAAGCTGAGGAGCAAGAGGAAAAAAGAATGAAAAAGAGTGAAGATAGTTTAACAGACTTATGAGACACCATCAAGCATAACATGCACATTATCAGTATACCAGGAAGGGGGCGGGGGGAAGAAAGAGAGAGAAAATGCTCAAAGAAATAATGGAAAAACACTACCCGAGCCTGAAAAAGACAATAGAAATCCAGATCCAGGAAGCCCAAAGGACATCAAATAGGATGAATCCAAAGAGACCCACATTGAGACACATCATAATCAAATTTTCAAAAGTTAAAGACAGAGTTTAGAAAGCAGGAAAGGAAAAGCTAACAGTTACATACAAGGTAACTCCTATAAGATTATTGGCAGATTTTTCAGCAGAAAGCTTGCAGGCCAGAAGAGAATGGGATAATATCATCAAAATCCTGAAAGAACTAGAATACTATACCCAACACCCTTTCAAAATGAAGGGGTGATAAAGACTTTCTCAGACAAACAATTTTGTGACATCAAAACATAAAATGTGAGAGGAGGAGGGAGAAAAGTGTAGAGATTGTGTATGTGATCAAACTTAATTTGTTATCAGCTTAAAATAGCCAGTTTTGAACAAATTCTTCATCAAAAGGCATACAGTGGCTGAATGGAGTACAAAACATGACCCAACTATATGCTGCCTACAAGAGACTCACTTCACTTTAAAGGACACTCATAGATTGAAAGTGAAGAAATGGAGAAAGATGTTCCAAGCAAATGGAAACAAAAAGAGAGTAGGGGAAGCTATACTTATTTCAGACAAAACAGACATTAGCTCAAAAATGGTAAAAGGAAACAAAGAAGGTCATTAGATAGTGTAAAGGGGTCAATTCATTGATAGGATATAATAATTGTAAATATATATGCACCCAATATTGGAGCACTTACATATATAAGGCAAACATGAAGAGATCTGAAGGGAGACACGGACTGCAATACAATAATAGTAGAGGATTTCAATACCCCACTTTCAACATGGGCATGTCATCCAGACAGAAAATTAATAAGGAAACATTGGACTTTGAAGTTCTGAGAGGGAAGTTTGTAGCAATAAGTGCCTACATCAAAAAAGGTCTCTAATAAACAATCTAATGTTACACCTCAAGGAACTAGAAAAAGAACAAATAAGCCCACGGTTAGCAGAAAGAAGGAAATAACAAAGATCAGAGCAGGTATAAATGAAATAGAGACTAGAAAAACAATAAAAACAATAAACAAAATTAGGAGTTGGTTTTTTGAAAAGCTAAAAAAAATTGACAAATCCTTAGCTAGTCTAAGAAGAAAAAGAGAGAAGACTCAAAATCACAAATGAAAGAGGAGACATTACAATTGATAATACAGAAATACAAAGGATCATAAGAGACTACTATGGGGCCGGCCCGGTGGCGCACTGCTACAGTGTGCCGCTTGGGAGTGCGGCGGCGCTCCCGCCAAGGGTTCGGATCCCACATACAGACCGGTTCCCACTCACTGGCTGAGCGAGGTGCGGGCGCGACGCCGAGGGTTGCGATCCCGTTGCCGGTCCCGGTCCGGTACGGGCGCGACACTGAGGGTTGTGATCCGTTGCCGGACACAAAAAAAGACAAAAAGGAAAAAAAAAAAAGAGAGACTACTATGAATAATTATATGCCAACAAATTAGGCAACCTAAGAGAAATGGATAAATTCCTAGAAACATATAAGCTACCAAGACTGATTCACAAAGAAACTGGAAATCCGAACAGACCAATAATGAGTAAAGAGATTGAATCAGTAATTAAGTCTCCCATCAAAGAAATGCTCAGGACCACATGGCTTCATGGGTGAATACTGCCAAACATTTAAAGAAGAACTAATATCAACCCTTTTCAAACTCTTCCAAAAAAACTGAAGAGGAAGAGATACTACCAAACTCATTTTATGAGGCCAGCATTACCTTGATACCAAAGCCAGACAAAGATATGACAATAAAAAAAGCTACAGGCCCAAGTCACTGATGAACATGGATGCAAAAATCCTCAACAAAATACTAGCAACCCATATTCAACAGTACATTGAAAGAATCAACACTGAAAAAAGAAACATTGAAGAAAGAACAGTACATTGAAAGATCAAGTGGGATTTATCCCTGGGATGCAAGCTTGGTTCACCATATGCAAATCAATAAATGTGATTCACTATATTAACAGAATGAAAGACAAAAAGCACATGATCATCTCAATAGAGGCAGAAAAAGCATTTGAAAAATTCAATATCCTTTCATAACAAAAACTCTCAACAAATTAGGTATAGAAGGAATGTTCCTCAACATAATAAAGGCCATATATGACAAGCCCATAGCTAACATCATACTCAGTGGTGAAAAGCCGAAGCCTTTCCTCTAAGACCAGAAACAAGACAAAGATGCCCACTCTCACCACTTCTCTTCAACATAGAACTGGAAGTCCTGGCCAGAGTAATTAGGCAAGAGAAAGAAATAAAAGGCATCAAAACAGGAAAGTATGAAATAAAATGGTCTCTGTTTGCTGACAACATGATCTTTATATAGAAAATTCTAAAGACTCCACCAAAAAAATGGTCAGAACTGATAAAATTTAGTAAAGTTGCAGGACACAAAGCTAACTTAGAAAAATCAGTACTAGGCTGGCCAGTTAGCTCAGTTGGTTAGAGAGCACAGCCTTATAACACTAAGGTCAAGGGTTTGGTTCCCTGTACCAGCCAACCATCCAAAAAAAAAAAAAAAAAGTACCATTTCTATACACTAACAACGAGCTGTCTGAAAAAAATTAGTGAAACAAACAAAAATTAATGAAACAATCCCATTTACAATAGCATCAAAAAAATAAAACACCCAGGAGTAAATGTAACCAAGGACATGAAAGATCTGTATACTGAAAACTATAAAACATTGATGAAAGAAAATGAAATTGATATCAATAAATGGAAAGATATCCCTTGCTAATAGATCAGAAGAATTCATATTGTTAAAATGTCTATACTACCCAAAGTGATCTACAGATTCAATGCAATCCCTATCAGAATTCCAATGGCATTCTTCACAGAAACAGAGAAAACAATTCTAAAATCTGTATGGACACACAACAGACCCCGAAGAGCCAAAGCAATCGTGAGCAAAAAGAAAAAAGTTAGAGGTATCATTTTAGCAGATTTCAAGTACATTACAAAGCTATAGTCATCACAACAACGCGGTGCTGGTATAAAAACAGACACATCGACCAACGGGATAAGATAGAGAGCCCAGAAATAAACCCACACATCTACAGTCAATCTATGTTCAACAAATGTACCAAGGACACAGAATAAAGAAAGAACAGTCTCTTCAATAAACGGTGTTGGGAAAACTGGATATTCACATATAGAATAATGAAAATGGACTCGCTCACCCCTTATGCAAGAATCAATTCAAAAAGAATTAAAGACTTAAACATAAGACCTGAAATTATACAACTATGAGAACAAGTCTGGGCGGTGATTTCTTGGATATGACCCAAAAGCAAAAATAGACACATGGGCTCGCATCAAACTAAAAGTAAAGGAAACAATTAATAGAGACAACTCACAGATTAGGAGAAAATATTTGCAAATCATACATCAGATAAGAGACTAATATCCAGGGCCGGCCCGGTGGCGCACTGGAGAGTGCGCCGCTTGGGAGCGCGGTGGCGCTCCCGCCGAGGGTTTGGATCCCATGTGGAGACCGGTTCCCGCTCACTGGCTGAGCGCGGTGCGGGCGCAACACTGAGGGTTGCGATCCCGTTGCCGGTCCCTGGTATGGGCGCGACACCGTTGCGATCCTGTTACTGGTCAGTAAAAAAGACAAAAAGGGAAAAAAAAAAAAAGAGAGACTAATATCCAAAATATAGAAAGAACTCAAACTACTCAATAACAAGAAAACAAATAACCCTGTTTAAAAATGGGCAAGGGATTTGAATAGACATTTCTCAAAAGAAGACACACAAATGGCCAAGAGATACATGAAAAAATGCTCAACATCTCTAATCATAAGAGAATTGCAAACTAAAACCACAATAAGATATCACTTCCACCTGTTAGAATGGCTTTTATCAAAAAGATGGAAGATAAGTGTAGGCAAGAACGTAGAGAAAAGAGAACCTTGCACACTGTTGGTGGTGTTATAAATTAGTACAGCCATTTTAGAAAACAGTATGGAGGTTCCCTAAAAAACTAAAAATAGGAGCTTCCGGTCAAGATGGCAGAATAGATGGTCCCCAGCGTCACCCTCTCCCACAAATCAACCAATTTACAACTATTAAAAAGCAACAACAGCCAAGCTGGGGCCACTAGAGCTCAGGGGAAGAGGAGGAGAGACCTACAGAGTGCATGAAGGTGGGAGAAGCCACAATGAGAGAAAGAAAGGGCTGCTCCGACTGTTTTGACACCCGACGACTTCAAGGCTGGAGCTGCAGAGTGCATGGAGCAGGAGCTGGCAAATGCCCCTGCTGTGCCCTTCATATGAAGTTGCTTGGAGTCTGCAGGGGAGAAGAAGGCCTTGGTGGTCCCCAGGCCAGCAAAACTACTAAGAGGGTTCCCATGGACCCACATAGGAGCGAGGGGCCACAGACAAGTGAATAAAGGAGCTATTCAGAGGCCAGTGAGTCATCGCAAGGGACCAGTGCAGGGCCCATCCCATGGGAAGTGTTTGGAGTGCAGGGTGTGGGGGAGATGGGCCCACCAGGGGAGCATTGGGGCACAGCATGGACAGCTGATCTGCCCTCCAATCAGCACAGGACCACTCGGTGGAGACTGGTCAGGAATACAGATCTGCAGGGGTGCAGTTTGCTGAAAAGACTCAGCTCCAGACCAGAGTTTCCACACAACCCAGGTGTACCGGACCTCACGAGACCCAGAAGTACACACAAGGTCAACAATTAAACTTGAGCTGCACAAAAAGCCTTCCCCAGAGAATCAGCAGCAATGAAGCCATTTAGCTCAACCACAGGGCTCAAGTGCTGGTTCCCACAGGAAGTCCCCCCGTTTTAGAAGCAAAGGACAACAGATTAGTTCCAGTGCAGAATTTAATTGGTGGGAACAGCAAATAATCCAACACAAAACTGAAAGAAAATACAAAATACCCACAGATCAGAGATGAAGTCTGATATTAACGAGTAGAGGTCTCACATCACCAAAGAACACCTATAAAACCTAGAAGGACCAGAAGCCCCCTAGGCTCCCAAGCCAGGGCCAGGGGAGGGCCGGGGGCCTCAGCCATGCCCCCCAATGACCACGCCCAGAGCAGTGATGACCACCAAGCCACCACAAGAAGCGTCCTGGGCTCCTCCACAACAACATTTTAGAATATGAAAAATAATATTAATAAATAAATTTTTTTAAATAAAAAAAATATAAAATAAAAAACTAAAAATAAAATTACCACATAGCCAACCATCCCTCTACTAGCCATATACCCAAAGGAATTGAATTCAGTATGTTGAAGAGATGTCTGCACTCCTATGTTCATTGTGACATTATTCACAATAGCCAAGACATGGAAACAACCCAAGTGTTGGTCAATGGATGAATAAATTTTTTAAAAATGTCATATGTTCACACAATGCAATACAATTCAGTCTCAAAAAAAATAGGGAATTCTGCCATTTGTGACAACATGGATCAACCTAGAGGACATTATACAAAGTGAAATAAGCCTGATACAGAGAGACAAACACTTATGATCTCCTTTATATGTGGAATCTCAAAATGATGAACTCATAGAAGTAGAGAGGAGAATTGTGGTTACCAGAGGCTGGAGATGGGGGGTGCAGGGTGCACAGGGAAAGGGAGATGGTGGTCAATGGGCACAAAGTTTCAGTTAGACAGGAGGAACTGAGGAGCTGGTGCTCTACTGCGCAGCATAGTGACATAGTTAATAATAATGTATGGTATATTTAAAAATAGCTAAAAGAGATCATTTGAAATGTTCCCACCACAAAAAAATGATAAATATTGGAGATGATAAATATGCTAATTAGCCTGATTCGATCATCGCACGATGTATACATGTATTAAAATATCACATTGTACCCCATAAACATATACAATTATTTTGTCAATTAAAAATAAAATGAAACAAAAAAATTAAAATTAAAAATAATAAAATAAAACTTAAAAAAAAGATCACTGTGGGGTCTTCCATCAGCTAGTTTCTGGGACATTAAGCACCGGGTCCAGGGCATGACCACTCACAGCCACCCGCAGGCCCGACTGAGACCATAGGAACCAGAGTAGGAACCTCTTTACTTCTCCTGGTCCCCAAGAAATCATCTCAAAGCTTGCCCACCTGTCCATCTGGGTCCTGTCCCTTCAAACCTTCCCAGGGTGGGCCCCAGAGAGCCCATCATCTCCAGGCCCAGCCTCAAGCCGAGCCTCTGTCCTGCAGGCTGCACACACCTGGCAACAGCAAATACAGTACCTTGCATACCTGAGGGCCCAAAGTCCTGCCGGGTGAGGAAGATGACGTGGTCATGGTGCTCAGCATGGCTGGGGTCCTGGCGCTGCTGGGAGTATGCCCAGCGACACACCTGTTCCAGGCTGCGTGAGGGGTTCCCATGCTCGATCAGGCTCAGGGACTGCAGGACAACAGTGAAGCAAGTGGTCAGAGCCCGAGGATGCAGCAGCAGCTCTCGCCCCCATTTATAGGGGGGAGCACTGAGGCCCAGGGGGCTGCAGTACCTGTCCCAGGATCACCAGCTGTCCCCACTCTGCTGCTGGCACACAGTCCACCCTGTTTTAAGGAATGGTCATAGGCCAAGCACTGTGCCATGTGCCTGTTGGAAACTCAACGCACATATTTCCAGTCCCTCCACTAACCTGCAAAGCAGGTGCTGAGCGTTTCCTCCATCCTGTATGTTTCCTGTCTTATTTAATCTTCACAATAGCCCTTAGAGGAAAGTTCTGTTGCTGCCGCCATGTGGGGGACAATAAGTGACTGGTCTAAGATTGCAGAGCCGGGGGCCCCAGGGCTCAACCATGACAGGACTTGGGTCAGTTGCCGCCCCTCTCTAAGTCCTTTTTCCCCATCGATTTCTCAAGTGGGGCCTCCCTCAGTAAAGGTACAGGCTTGTCAGTTTCTCCTACTGAAGAACCTCTAAGTTCCTGCTTACAACTTCCAATGCCTCTGCCACCGAAGCCTCAATTCTCATGGTCTCGAGGTTCTGAATCTGGATACAGTTTCCTGGATGCTTGTCCCTCCATGCCACACCATAGCTGGCCCAACACTCTGGCCCTCCAGCCCCTCTCCCTCCAAACCCTGCCTACTGAAAAGGGGGTTTACCTGTTGGTAGCCAACCATAATCAAGCGGACAAGGGCAATGTTTATATGGGCCCCCAGGGACTCGTCATGGTAAATCTCATTTACCTGCAAGAAGAGAATGCAGTTTAAGGGGAAGCAGGTGTTTGTCCAGGGCCTACTATGTGCCAGGTGCTGGGCTGGGTTCCTAACATATGGTACCCATTTCATCCCCACCATGAGCTTATAAGGCAGGCATTCTCATCCCTACTTGACAGAGGAAGAAACTAACATCAGGAGAGGCAAAATGTCTTGCCCAAGGACACCCAGCTAGCAAGCTGCAGAGCTGGGATTCAAATCCTAGAGTGCTCAATTCCGACACTGAGCTCTTTCCATGAATCCAACGTGTGTGTGTGTGTGTGGGGGGGGCTGGTCTCAAACTGAGCAACTCTGACTAAGACTCTTATCTTTCCACATCTCTAAAGAGCCTCTTCCAGAAATGTCATCCGGCTCAGGGAACAACAGTTTGGGCTGCTCATTCTAACATCCCTGCATACCTTTCCAATTGCCACTGGAATAATGTCTGCCCTGGAGTGCCTGGGGAGGCCCTGGGGAGGCAGGAGTGGGCTCTTCTCCAGGGCAAGTCCAGGGTGGAAAGTGCTCAATGGCCTTGGATCAGCATCATCTGGGAGCCTGTTAGAAATGCAGTCTCGGGCCCCACCCCAGGCCTGGGTCAGGGTCTGCATCTGAACAAGATCCCCAGTTGAGGAGCACTGCTCCAGATAATTTCTTTCTCTTGCACACTCAAGAACATGTGGCAGTGCCTTGCACAGTTCATCCAAAAATCCAGTCTTCTGCAGTCCTCTGTTTGGGAAGCCCCTGAACAGTGTCCATGACAGGGGGACACACAGCCTCTGCTCGTCCTCCCCAAGGATAGAGAGCTCACCCTCTCTTGAGGATGCCCATCTCCTGAGATGTCCTGCTGGATACTCCAGCTTGTTTGTTTTAAATAACCTCTTTTCTGAATATAAAACATTTCACTGTAAAAAAAAAAAAAATTGAAATGTACGAAAGAAGAGAAGTCGCCTACACTACTATTAGCCAGATGTATAGTAACCATGATTAATATGCTTCCTGCCACGTGTATGTGTGTGTCTTATTTTACAAAATTGGAATCATATGGAATATACTGTTTGTATTTTGCTTATTTCATGGAACATTATTCTGTATATTGAAAAGCATAATCTCTAATGTCTGCATGTGATTTGCCACCACTTATGTAACTAATCTCCTATTTGGACTCTGAGAGACTCAGAGAGAAGTGACTTGTCCAAAAGGAGAAAGGACTCACTCAGCGAGTCAGTACACAGCAAAGGTGAAGCAGCTACTGGGGCTCCCAGATTCAAATCCCAGCTCTTCCTCTTATGAGCTGGGTGGCTTGGGACACAGCAGGTAACCCCTTAGAACTTCTGTTTCTTTTTTCTGCACAATGGGCATAATAATGGCTGTGACAGGGCTGGCATGTGAGCCACACGAGGCACTGGGACCCACAGGAATGGTAAGTGGTCAGTGCTGGAGGCAGAAATGGAGCCCACCTCCGACTGCCACCCACATGGCTCCCCAGGAGCCGGGATGGTTTCACTCACACTCTTGTTCTCACCACTTCCATCACCCCATGGCCTTTGGCCACCTCAATTCTTTTCCACTCGTAAGCAAAGGAACCAAAATACAACCCACAAAGGGACTGTTGTCTACCAGATAGAGAGAAACAGTGCTCCAGCCACACTGCAGGACAGTCCCAGGAAGAGAGGAAAGCCAGGAGGGAGCAGGAGACCTGCTCCCATGCCCACACACCCCTCCTGGGCCAGTCAAGGATGGTGCCAGGCTGTGGGCACAGAGCCACGGCAGCACACGCCACACCAAGCCCCAGCCCCAGCCCACTCGTCCCGGAGCCCAGAACTGGCAGCTGCCCCCATCATGAATGTGCAGACTATAGAGCAGCCAGCATCAGGCTTCCGCCACGGGCCTGCCTGGCGCCCACGTCTAAACCCAACCGAAGAGTGAGACCAAAGCCCAGCCCCCACTGTGGGAAAGCCACCCCCTGCCAACACCCCACCCCTGCCACTCCCCAGCAGGACTGAAGACACTGTGGGAGCAACATGCTCCAATGCGTGAAGAGACGGCGTCTTTCTCAACCCACCCGTCCCAGGCTTGTCCTAAGACGGACTGCGGAGTGGAGGGGGCAGGGGTCCAATCAGCCACACACACAGATGCCCCTAATGGAATTCCAACCTGAGCAGTTTTTGCTGATGGCTGAAATGGTAATCAATCTGCAACAGACTGACTCTTAAACAACCTTGACTTCTCAGCCCCTCCAACACTGGAACGTGGCCTTCCTTCTACTCTGGGGTGTGGTCAGTGTCACGTTCCTCCCTGATGTGCTCTGAAAGACCACAGATGAGTTCACGGGCAATGCTTGCTCTACATAGACACATCTGTGCCCCATGTATACACATGTAAATCCGCCGGCTGTCCTGGTGCAGGAGAGGAGTGGAGTCACTGGGACACTACGGTGGGGATGTTTGCGGGGCCCCTGGGCATCTGGAAGTATGCAGGGCCATTGCCTACCTCCATGTGTCTCTGCTGTAGGGTGAACCACGTAGATGCCTGTCAGAATCCTGCCATATTCCTCCTTTCTGTCCCTCACTCGGCAGGCCTCCAATGACTCTTGCTCTAACAGCTGTCATTTCCAGTGCAGGACATTGGGAGGTCCCCACACTGGGACTGGGGAGGGGGCTGCTGCCTCTCTGAGCAGGAGGTAGAATGAGAGCTCAACTGTCTAACACTGGTGAGAGGCTGGGCGGGGCCTCCTGATGCCACCTCCCACTCCCAGGTAACTGACCTAGAGGCAAATGCTGAGCAAGCGGGAAGGAACACCCCATTGGGAGAGGCCATGTGGCCCTCAGAAGCAACCTGGAGACCACAGGCTTCAGGCAACTGGTGTACCAAGCTCGTGCCACACCCCAGGATCCTGGAGGAAAGGGAAACGGTGTGCACATGGGCAGGAGGGCTCGGGGAAGTCTTGCTGGGGGAGCTGGGAAGATTTCTGGACCGAGATGTTATAGACCCTTAGGAGGAGATGGGCACAGGCTTGTGGTAGGAGAGAGCAAGGCAGGAGCCATGCGGAGCCACCAAGAGAAACCAGGGTCATTGGCAATCAAGGTAACTGAGGCCAGCTGCATGTTTGTGTCCTTCCAAAATTCATATGTTGAAATCTAACCCCCAAAACAATGGTGTCAGGTGGTGGGGCCTTTGGGAAGTGATTAAATCACAAAGGTGGAGCCCTCATGAATGGCATTAGTGCCCTTATAAAAGAGTCCCCAGAGAGACCCTTCACCTCTTGTACCACGTGAGAACACAGCAAGAAGGAGCCATTTATGAACCAGAAAGTGGGCTCTCACCAGACACCAAACCTGCTGGTACCTTGATCCTGGACTTCCCAGCCTCCAGAACTGTGAGAAAAAAATTTCTGTTGTTCATAAGCAACTCAGTTTATGGTATTTTGTTACAGCAGACCAAATGAACTAGCACACCAACCTCCCATCTGCCAGGGAATTTCTTCCCAGCCAGGGCTCACACACCTCCAGCAGGGGAGCTCTTGGCTGCTAGAAAGTTCTCTGGCTGTAAGCCCCATTCAGCCTCTCCATCATCCACCTCCTCCGCTGGCGTAAGTCTCCCCCTTGAAGTTTGACTGAGCGGTCTGCTCCCTTCCCGGGGACAGACAGTGACTACAGTCTCTCGGGGACTGCTCTCTAAACACACCTCAATCACAGAGAAATCTTACTGCAAGAGAGAGAAGACAGATCACTCACAGGGAATGATCACTGGGCTGAGAACAGGTTTTCAACAGTAACAACGGAAGACGCTGAATTAACACCATCAAAGCACCAAGACAAGGAAACCGTCAACCTAGAATCGTGTACCGGCAAAACCATCTTTTAAGAACCATGATGAAATGAAGGAATTATCAGATCAAAACTGAGGAAGCTACTCAGACCTCACTAAAAGAACTGCAGGAAACATGGAAAATGACCCCAAAAGAAAGCCTAAGGTACAAATGGAATGAATCGTTTTGAGGCATAGGAGCAGAATTTAGCAATCAGAATTAGTCTGGTCTTTTCTATACTAAATAAGGATAATAAAAATAAAGTGTTTCTATTTTACTCCCTTTCTCCCCTATTTAAAAAAAAAAAAAAAAGAAAAGGTGGGGTTGGCCCCACTGTTGCAAGTCCCCTGGTCTGGTCCTTCTCTGGTGCCCTGGTACCCTCACCTGCACACAGTCCTATTATCCCCAGGCCCTGAGTAAGGACCTCAGCGTCTGTGATTCAGCTAGAGCTGCCTTGAGGCTTTGCACCGGCCAAGGAGGTGTCTGGATAGGGCTGCCATGCCCAGCAGGAACTGCAGAGGCTGCCTGGCACATGGCGCCACAGCCCAGAGATATGGGCTACCTGGGAGGCCAGGACCCCGGCCCCTCCAGAACACACACACAGGTGGCTCCCTGTCAGGCTCCAGCCTGGCTGTGCACCCAGGGCCTGGTTCTATCAGTCTCGGCCCATGACTGACTCCCAAATGGCAGAGGTGAGGTGAGGGAGCCAGCTCAGGGATCAGAAATTGCTTTCCATGGGTAGACACAAGGCAGGACAGGTGCAAGACACACCCACAGGACAGAACAGTTTGTACAGTTTCCTAGCTTCCCACCTCTGAGTCAAGTTCAAGGTCATCTCTGCCAGGACCCCCCAGGTTATGATTCGACATCATATACTGGCCTGAGATAGCCACTGGGTGTGTACCAGAAAAGCAAGCAAAGGTCAGGACTTTCTAGCCAAGGGAGAAAAAAACAGCAGAAGGGAGAGAATGGGTAGAAAGTATTAGGGTTGGAGAGATGTGCTGCTATTCACCAAACACCTACTATGTGCCGGGCACCAATGCCAAGGGCTTTGCATCCAACCTCACAACAACCTTATGGAGAGAATTATTCCTGCCTCATAGGCAAGAAATCTGAGGTTCAGAGAAGTTAAGTAACTTGCCCAAGGCCACCCAGCTGTAAGTGGGAAGGCCAGAATTTGAAC